GATCCTAAACTTAAGTTGAGATGCCACTTTCCTGAGAAAATGAAAATTGCAACAATCACTTCTCCCGAGTGTGCAGGCACTGATGTGCAGTAGGGAAAATCCGCTCACAGGAATGAGTCACGGAAGTGTCTGTGACTCCCCTGGGTGGTATGGGGGGTGGGGGATTGGTATCCAGACCTACTACCGGCTTGCAATGCCCCAGTTGGCAGACAGTTGAGAAAAGTTAGAATTTGCCCCAAATTCCCACTGCGAGAGTCCGTGTGCAATGGGGCCTGTGCGTTATTTTGAACAGATGCTTCCTTTCTCTTTTGCAGGTTCTGTTAGGGGCAGAAATAGAATATCAGGGACCAGCTATAGTTATAAGAAGCAGTAATCATGCCCTGTGAACCATGATTATTCTGTTCTGATTAGAGAAGGCACCTCTAACCTGGTGAGCATTGTACACCCTGGGACATGGGAGCTAACAATGGAATGCAGTCCATCTTCCTTTTCCGAGAACTGCCTATAATTATGGAAAGATTTGCAACTTGTTGCTAAAACAATCTAGTCCCAAGGTTCCAGCCCTTTGCAATCCGACTCCCAGCCCCCATTGCCTGTAACCTGTAACCGTCATACCATGCCTGCTTCCCCAAGCCTGTAATTCCTACCGTGTTTGCACAAAAATAAGACATCCTCCGAAAATAAGACCTACTTACAGGTTTCCTTCTGAGTGAAATATAAGGCACCCCCCCCCGAAAATAAGCCCCCCCCCCAGGCTAAACATGAGAGATTTGGCCCACTGATTCTGAAAGAAATGGAGTCACAAGAAATTCACCAGGAAATTCAGGAATTGGATTGTTATGAAGATGTTCCAGAAGATGATGACATGATTGTCATTGAATAAATGAGTAAATTCTTGATACTGTAGGATTCACATTTTATCTGGTTTGTGTTGACAACTACCGCACTACCGTACCGTATACAGGTGTAATAAATTTCTTTTATTTTTATTTAATAATAAATGTGTACCATATTCTTCATCATGGAAAAATAAGACCTAGAGCATCTTTGGGAGCAAAAATTAATATAAGACACTGTCTTATTTTCGGGGAAACAGGGTAGTTGCCCAGGTAATCTTTGTCCTTCTGCCCAATATAAGCAGCTGTCTTATGGGGAGGGGCAGAGCATATTTTTTGTGAGTGACCTGCTGCTCTCCCATACTGCTGGCAGTACTGGAATAAACACTTATATATGATTCAACCCTGTCTCTGCTGAATTGGCTCAAGTAGGGACAGGCAGCCACTACTGTCACTGGTTTCAATTCCTCTTTGGTGTTGCTAAACTTGAGGGCCCCATGTGGCAGCTGAAGGCGAAGGTGAGAGTGCAGGGGTGCCTCCTCCCCAGCAGCCTTGGGCTGGAGCCAATTTTCTCTGTCTCCTTTGGGTCCCAAGAAAACAAGCAGGGGCTCTTTTTAAAAAAATGTTTTTCAATGAATTTCAGAAAGGAAGGAAAAGGGAGAGAGAAACATCAATGATGAGAGAGAATCACTAATCGGCTGCCTCCTGCAGGTACCCCACTGTGGACTGAGCCCATAACCCAAGCATGTACCCTTGACTGGAATTAAACCTGGGCCCCTTCAGTCTGCAGGCTGACACTCTATCCACTGAGCCAAACTGGCCAGGGTAAGTAGGGACTCTAGGGTTCTTCTCTGTGGCCTTCCTGGGAACACAATGGAAGTTATCTCTGTACCCCATCCTTATAGGGCCCTGTAAGTAGAATAGACCTTGGAAGCAGGATTTTAAAGCTCTGGGGGCCACTTCTCTCCCTGTACTAACATATCCCTTTCTAAGCTTTGCTTGATGCCCCAAAACCTATCATGACATGTCCTCTAGGATTGACAGCATTCATTCTAAAAGACTTGCCTTGAAACAATACTTTCCATTTTCTGCATGACCTTGAACCTGCCCTCAAGACCCTCACAATCTCAACACAACCTTTTTTTTTTTTAATTCACTTATAGACCCACTAATTTAGTGACATATAAGCTAGCCTCTATTGGGCACCTGCTGGGTGCCAGAACCGTGCTAGCTCACCTCGTAGAATCTTCATGGAAACCCTGTGAGTTGGTACTGCAAGCACCTGTTTTTATAGCCTTAGAGGGGTTTCATGATGCTCATGATCATGTGACTACCAGGTGTCAAATCCAAGTGTATATGACAACCACATGTCATGCTTACAAGGGAAACTGTGCAGCTGTCTGCCCATAGCGACACATAACTAAGTCTAGAATTATTACCTTTCCAAACAATTTCACTTTACAAATCAAACAGCAGCACATTCTTATCAACTCCTTCAATGACCCACCTGCACCTACAAGTCAACACCCCTGCTCTGGCCTATGGTCCCTATTCCCCCTCCACTTGTACATCTCCATTTCTACCTCTTTGGCCTCATCGTGGCCACTCTCCCCCTTGCTCACTATGTCCATACCCTCTGCCAAGACTCTTCCGAGTGCAAGCCACTCGCATATGCTGTTCCTTCTACCCGGACTGCTCTCCCTTCCACTCTGCTTTTGACTAAGCCCTGATCCTCCTTAAGGTCTAGTGTTAAGGTCAGCTCATCAAAGATGTTTTCCAGTCCTTGAATCTAACTCTCGATTCCCTGCTGTGCTGTGTATCTCTTCCCCAGCTCTCATCACTTGTTTCAGTTGAGGGTTCAAGAATAGCACCAAGTGGGGTCAGACCACACATGGGTTCAGCAACCTCGGTACTAGGGCTCTGGCTAGAGGAGAATTCAGAGCCAGGACGCAAACTGAAGGAGAACATTTATTAGGTAAATCACAGAGGTAAAGGAGTAATTCCTAGAAGGGAACAGAGGAAAGGAAGGGCCCTTGGAGCTTGGGAGTGAGGAAGCTAATGGTAACATGGCTGGGGCAGGAACGGGAAGAGAAAAGCATTGGTGTGATCTTGGGAGGGAGAGCTCAGTGGGTCCTCAGTCCTAAGGGTTTGAAGGGTGGAGATTTTGGGGAGGTGCTAGGAGAAGATCTTAATAGAATATCCAGCAGCTTTCCAGGTGTGTCTTTTCAGAGTCTAGGTCTCCCCTGATTGGTCAGCGTCAGGACAGGGGGTCATTATTCAATGCAGCTGGTCCTGAGGTCAGCCATGGCTACTTTTCTGGGCCTGGAGCTGAAATACAACTGAGACCTAGACATTATCTCTAGAGAGGAAAGGTCAGGGGGTCCAAATCTCATGACCAGGGATATGCTAGGGAGGAAAGGCCACTCTGAGGGTAAAGTCCTACGGTTATCCCTTGCTAGGAACCTGGGGCTTTCTACCACATTTCTAAGTTAAATACCAATTGGGAGTGATCATTTATTTCATGTCTCTCTCCCCAACCAGAGTGTAAGCTTCTCAGGGCAGGGACTTATCACTCATGCCAGGAACAGGCTACCTGCTCAATAAATATTTGCTGAATAAATCCAAGGAAAGAGATTAGGTCCAAAAAGCCATTTGATTGGTAAAATCAAATTCTGAGTGGTGCAGAAGTACCACCTTGGGCTTCTCCACCAGGCCCTGCCCACTGTGGAACAGCAAGCTGGTAGACTTGCTGAGGTTTGGGATTCCCCTTAGGTCCTAGATCTAACAATGTGAACAAAAGAGAGATTATACAGGTTGATTCTAGGCCCCTCTCCCATAAAAACCAGCCTAATTTTGAATGCTGGGGGACAGTTTTGTAGCTAACTGCTTGTTTATATGTCCCTGGTGTCTTTCTCAGAGAGGAGCTGTGGTTTCTTAATTGTTTTGAGAATCTTAAGTTCAGATGAGGCCGGTAAACATACATGCTGCTCCCAGGAAACAGGAAGTGAGGATGATTGGGAGGGCTGGCCCATGTTCTGTAGTCCAAGATACCCTGGTAAGAGTTCTCGCTCCTGGGTCTTAAAAGTGGGTTTTGATCTTCTTATGTTAAGAAAATGCCCCTCCTCTGGAGGAAGAAAACCTAAAGGAATGGGTCCTTGAGAGGCAATATGATAGCTACTTGGGAGCAGATCCGTTTGAAAAATAGAAGGCTGGGTTTGAGGACAAATTTGTAAGTTACCCTCTCTCCTCTAAACCTCCTGCACAATTTATCTGTGCTTGCTTTGCCCCATCCCCCACTCCCAGCAAGTTCTTCCTTCATATGTACCTACTACTGAATTTGGTGTTCTGCTAGTCTGCCAGGCTCCTAAGGACAATGCTGCTGGACCTCTTTTCTTGCTAGGGCTCTGCTCAAAGTAGCAGCCACATCTCTCTCCCACACATCGAAGCTGTCAACTTCATCCAAGATGGATGTTGAAATCTCCAACTGTAACTACTCAGTTTAAAACTGAAGAATTCAGCGTTATGTACCTGTATAAAAATATTCAAATATTTGATTAATTCAATTTTCTCCTTACTTATGCTTTATGAAAACTTTCAGAGCACTGTATATAAAATTCAGCCAGTTCCACCAACACAGTAAAAGGGGCCCAAAAGCTTTGTATATTAAAGACAACGTTTCTAATCGCCAACAGAAATGAGAATGATTTCATACTGCATGGGACCTTGTTATGTGGAAATGATTATTTGAATATGAGCCAAAGACTCCCTCATGTTTGCGTATCTCAGGGAGCAAATAATACCAAACCTTGGGTGCAGAAAGACACACAACTGGGATTCTAGAGATGCCCCAAGGATTGTTTCTTTAATTCATCCCCCAAAATAATCCTATAATGCATTTTAAAATGCATTGACACAAGTCCTTTGTGTGAAGTTGTTATGGTTACAGAAAAAAAGAGTAAATAAATATTTGTGCAGACAGATAGAACATAACATTCTACAGTGAAAACAATCTCCTCTGAAAAAATTCAAAGTCAGAGATGATGCCATGAGCTAGTGATGGGTGTGGAGCAACCTTTAAATTCAGTTCATGGTGTTTTCATTGTTTAATTATGGAAAATGGGGAGTTTGGGGAAGGGGAGGTGGACAGACATGCAACCCAAGGCACACTGTTATTTGTTTATTTTCTATAGGTGATGTCATAAGCAAGGGTTTTGCCCGTGTTCTAGTCTATCTCCAATAAATAAATATGTACAAATATGCTGAGTTTACAAAATAGTAGAAAAAAATCTTTGTCACAAAAGATACACATTTTTCCCCCCATTCATATCTTCATCCCTAGCTTAGTTGAACCAAAAACCCTGTTTAGTGATGTCCAGAGGGGTGTACCTAATTTTTCTACAGGAAATTAAGATTCCTCAGTTTCTTGATAATAAAGGCCCTGACTTGGCCTGCTACTTATTACTGAGCCCCATTCGCTCAATTCCAGAACTTGGAAGCTATCTGAAACCGTTCTTCTTAGACCATACTGGCAGGTAAACCCCTGCAGATCTTGTTAAAATACAGATTCTCATGGAGTCAGTGGAGTGAAGCCCAAGTTTCTGCATTTCTAACCAGCTGCTGGAGGAGGGCAAAGACAGCCCCATTTCTTGTGGGGAGCAGGTTCCAAGTGAGTGAGGTGAGAAGGCCCCTCTGAAGTGGGAGACATTCTGAAGGGCTTGATCAAGGTGAGGTGGCCTGGGTATCTGCCAGGTTCCATCCCTAAACTCCCAAATGCCCCCAAAACTGGTTTTATTTTAGCCTATAACTGACAAAAACAGTGAGTCAAAATGGTAATTGGCATGAATCAGGCAACTCAGAACTTTCTTAAACTATCTCCTGGGAGATGATTCCTTTTTCTTTCAATCTAGAGCAATCACATGAACATTCCAACACTGTTAAAAATAACAACAACAACAATAACAATAATAACAATGTAAAAGGAAACTGCATAAAAGCTTAACAACGATGACTACCTTTCAGTCCAAATCAAAACAACACCAATAATAAAACCCAGGCTCACTGTTTAAAAAAAGCAAAAACAAAACAAAACAAAAAAATCTCCTTGGGTTGAATTTCTAAGACAGTTCAGCAACATTAATTTAACAAATGCCTCTCACATCTTAACCTTTGTTAAAATGATATTGGCTCTGGAAGCATGAAACTTCAGGCTAAATTAGCGAATCTGGTGAAAGAACAAATGCCCAGCCATTCTTCTTTTTAGTGCTTTTGCTCTGTTTCACGTAGGAGCTCTGCCTTAGGCAGACAGCTAAAAGTAGAAGTAGAGTCAGTCAGATGCAGGTAAAGTGACTCAGATGGGTTGGCCCCGTTCCTGGGAGGAATGAGAGGGGGAAATTAAGAGGAATGAGAGGGGGGAATGAGGCTTGTCTTCAAAAATGAGAGAGGCTGAAACAAAAAAATATTCACCAAGATGATATAACTACCACTTGACAAGGGGGGCTATATAAATACATAGATAGGGAAGGTAAGAAAGAGAGCGGGAAGGTAGGGAGGGACACAACGTGGTATGAAGACATACAGGTAGGGAAAATAGAAAAACAAGTCGTAAATACTTAAAAAAAATAAATATCTTTGTCATCAACATGACACAGTCACACTCACTAGTCCATCGGATCACAGTCTGCCCAATAATGCTCCCCCCTCTTGCCCTACAGAGGACATGGAGCACTTTGCAATCTTCATATTCATTTTAAAATTGCCCTCTCTGCCCAGTAGTCTGGTGACATGATAGAAGCAAACAGGGATGTGCATCCTCCTTCCAGTCCCTCCTCCCCAGCCATTCCTGGAGTCGCAAAAGAAGGGATGGGGGTCTCCTCCAGTTCTGAGGCCAGCTAAGGTGCTTCGGGAGTAAGGCTGGGGGAGGAGGCCAGGGAATGAGGCACAGGAGAGAGAAAAGGCCAAGCCCACACCTAGGGCCAGTCAGGGGGGAGACCCCTCAGAGTTTCTGAGGCATCTGCTCTGTTGCCATGTGCTGCAGCACCACCTCCTTGGAGGGGACCCCGCACTTGTACTCCAGCTCGGCCTGCATGGAGCCTTGCTTCTTGCGCAGGTGGCAGAGGAGCGCCAAAAGCGCCACCACCAGACACAAGCTGGAGATAGAGATGCCAATGAGCACGCCGGAATGCACAGACCCTGCAGGCCTGGGGCTCAAGGTGGTGCGCGGTGTCGGGCTGACCGGAGGCTCCCCAGAGCCCCCGTCTCCGCCTTCGCCTTCGCCTTCGCCTCTGCCTCCGCCCACGGGGGTAAGGTCACAGTCGCTGCCAGTCTTGACCATGCCAGGCCCGCAGACGCACTCAAAGGTGCCAGGGAGGTTGTTGCAGGAATGGGCATTGTTGCAGTAGCCACTGGCGCACTCATCGATGTCGGTGCACACCGAGCCCTCATCCAGAATGTAGCCGTCGGGGCACTGGCATCTTTCCGGGATGTTGGGGTCGCAATCGGCTGGGCATTCGGTTTGGTTGCAGAACATCTGGCACTTGTGCGGGGCGTTGGGGACGGGGGCGAAGCCCTCGGCGCAGATGCAGCGGTACTGCGGGGAGTCCGTCTCCCTCAAGGGCTGGCACTGGTACTCGCAGGGGTTCCCCAGGCACAGGTCCTTGACGCACTCGCCGTCCACCAGGTCGTAGCCTGGATGGCAGTGGCACTCGAAGCTGCCCTGCGTGTTGACACAGACCTGGGGGCACGGGCTGGGCACCTGCAGGCAGTCGTCCACATCTTCGCACTTGTGCTGGTCCGCAGCCAGCTGGTACCCCACGTCGCACATGCACGAGTAGCCGCCGGGCACGTCGGGGTTGCGGTGGCATAGGTGCTGGCAGAGTGTCTCGCAGGCGGCGGTGCAGGAGCGCCCATCGGCCTCCGGAGCAGTGTCGGCGGGGCAGAGGCAGCGGGGCTCCCCGCCGGCGGCGCTCCGGTTGCACAAGTGCTCGCAGCCGCCGTTCTCCACGCCGCAGTCCCAGGCGCCCGGCCCGGCCCGGCTCCAGCGGCCCTCGATCTCCCCGGGCCTCTGCTCGCACACCAGCTCCACCCCAAGGGGCGCCACCTCGGCTGAGCTGCCCAGCGGCAGCGCCTGGAAGTCCGCGCCGCGGGCCCCGAACGGGGTGTCATAGTGGACAGAGACGCTGGCGGCCGCCGGGGCCCCGGACCCCATGGCGAGCGGCTTGCAGGAGGCTGCGAAGTGGAACTCGCAGAGGAAGCCGTCGGCCTCCGTGTCGCACGGCCGCTCCTCCCAGGACGGCTCACCGGGGACAGGGACGCCGGCCTCCGAGACGGCCACGCACAGCGGGCCGCAGCGGGACGCGGGGGCCTCGGGGAGCCGCGCCCACCGGCTGTAGCTCGTGCTGTTGTCGCCCGTCACCCACTGGAAGCCCCGCAAGGGACCGAGGTGCCCCGGGTCGCTGCAGCCTGGCGGGAGCGTCAGGCCAATCCAGAGGCGAGGGCTCTCGCCGCCGCCGCCGCTCAGCAGAAGGGAGATGACATCCGCGGCCACCGAGGAGCGCACGGTCATCAGGTGGCCCCGCAGGCGCTCGCAGACCTGGCTGGCGGCGGGGAAGGTCGCGGGGCCCCGGAAGAGCGCAAAGCAGTCTTGTCCGATGCACTGGCTCCCGTGGGGCTGCGGCTGGGGCTGGGGGAGACCCCGGGCTGCAGAGCCCAGCACACCGAGGAGCAGGACCCGCAGCATGCTGCCCCGCACACCGCGTGCAGGCGCTGGGGACCGCGCAAGCGCCACCGCCGGTCCGAGCCCGGCTGGTTCCGAGAGCGCGGGGCGCTGGTGGAGACCGCTGTGCGCGTCTGCACCGGAGCTGGGGTGCCTGTCGGGTTGCTGCGCGGGGCAGCCTGGGCGAAGCAGCCTTTGATATGCCGGCAGCGAGGCAGCGCGAGTTTATAAGAGCGCAGCCCTCCGTCCTGGACGTTCGGGAAAAGGAAGGAAGTGCTAGTGGGAAGGGCTGAGGCTGTATTCTCGGATTACTGGGTCCTCCGACTCCCAGTGCCCGCCCTCGCGCCCGCCCGGGATCTGCTGGCCGGGATCAGTAACCGCGCCCAGGCTCCGGGCGGTCCCGGGCGGGGCTGCCAGGCTCAGACACCACCCCTGTCCTCAGGGCGACACCCCGGCTGCCTCCCCTCAGGCTCACACCTCCTCCCCCATCCTAATCTCTGGGTCCTCTTTCTTGTTCTTCATAAATATGCTGCTGTCATCAACTTCAAGGACAGCCTGTATTGCAGAAACCCTGGGAAGAGGTGACGGGAGAGGAGGGCTCCGAATGAAGGAGGCGGGGAAGGCGTGCCCGGCACCTGCGTGACTCAGGGAGAAGGTCTTCAGCAGAGGAGGGTTTAGGAGGGGCTGCGGAGGGCGCGGACTTCCGCAAAGATGCTATGGAAAGGAAAGGGAGCTGCACCCGCCCGCCCTCGCTCTGAAAACGGGGGTGTTCTCGGTCCCACAACACAGAGGGTGTGGCTAGACCTCGACCTTGAACGGAGGGAGAACTAGTCTAACGCCCGCGACTCCGCCCCTTCCCCCCCTACACACACACACACACAGAGAGAGAGAGAGAGCTAGGGGGACACAGGAGTCCCTGAGCGCCATCGGCCTAGGCCAGACCTCCTCTGTCTCAGGAATACTGTCAGGGCTCTGAGGTCCCTCACCCTGCAGAAGCGGTGGCAGGCAAAGGAGCCCTATGGGTTGGGGGGTAGGGGGGAGGGTGTTGGGGAGCGCATTTGCCAGTTGGGTCTGTTTTGTCCAGCTTCACAGAGGGATAGTCCATAGTTAGTCCGTCTTGAACCCCCAAAGGACCAAAGGAGTGGTGCACGGAAGCCCTCTCTGGCAGGCGCTGTGGGCTCCAAGCCTATCTACTCCGATCTGGTAAGGATCCCCCCCCGCCCCCCCCCCCCCCATTTAGCTGAAAGATCAGAATGAAACAGAGATGCATATAAATGTCACTTGTGTGGCAAAGGGCACTGAAGAAGGTCGACCCTGTGGAGCGGCGGGGCGGGGAGAGTAGGAAGGAGGCTATGGGAATCTGTCACTTTGGAGACCTTTTCCGCTTATTCACTCACCAAGAATGCGGAGGGGTGGGTCCAAAAATAACACCCTTTGCTGCCTCCGCTATTGTCATCCACAACGAATTACCAGTAGGCGGCGCTGTTGAACTCTAAACAAAGCTGAAAAAATTGGAAATCTCCACACTTGGTCTAAGAGTGTTGGGAATACAGTGGTCTGGCCTTGGCGTGGGCCAGGCAAGAGCATCCCACACTTCCGATCCCTAGACCTACCTATGGAAGACATGCCCTCTAGTAAGATCAGGAGAGTGTGGTGGTGTCCTCAGGAGAGAAAGACAAGCACCTGTGAGCTAGACTGGACTGACTACAGTGATCAAGGGGGCTGGGCGGGGCTGGACACTGTGAATGGGAAAGGGAACAGGTACATTGGTCCCTGTCTGCACTCCCTGACGCCTGGAGTTGATAGCTGGGACCAGCAGAGCCTCCTGAATATCCCACTGAGCGGCGTGCTAGGTCCTGGGAAAGCTGCCCCAGCTCCCTCACAGAAACGGGAGGTCCGGGTCTGAAGCTCCCCAGAACAGGGAGACTGCTCCTCTGGGAAAAGGACGGGAAGATCAGCAGCTTGGACAGTCCAGCTGTTCCCAGTGGGAGCAGGGCAGGCACTGGCCTGGCATCCCCTGGCCGCCTGGACTGTCAGGGGTGATGCCTCCTCAGGTGTAGCCAGCCCTGGAGCATGGCCTGCAGACGTGAGGGACATTGTCTGGGTGCATGAGACAAGAGAGGGGGCAGGGCACCCTGGCTCCAAATTAACTAAGACTTTCAAAACGGTGACAGCAAGCATTGAACAAAGCCTGGGGCCCTAAAAGAAGCTGTGAGACATCCAAGCATCTGGGCTTGTCCCACACCATTCTTGTTCACGTTTTGGATAGGTTCTATCCATGACCATGTTTGGTGGGACACCCTAGTCAAGTCTCATTAAACCCAATACTGACTCTTGAGAGAAAAAGGAGGGTGGAAAGGCCTGAGACAACAGCTTAGTAGCTCAATGATGTCTCTGAGACTCAGGCTAACCCTAGATGAAGAGTGTTGGATATTTCCATATAGAAAGAAAACATGGCAACAGCTAAGAGGAGTGGAGCATTGACCCTGGGTGAGTTACCCTCTAAAGGGATGGATGGGCACACCGACTTGGCCTTTCTCATCCCTCAGACTTTACCTCTAGCCCTCAGCAGACATCGCCCCTGCCTTCTAGGACAACACTTGTCAATCCTTGCCCCTCGCCAGCCATCACTCTGAGCCTTTGTACCTGCTTTAAACTACCCTCATTGTTTCTGTGCCTCCACACAAGATGGGCCACACCCTCTGGCTCTGTGTGAATGACACTCAGCTCCCTCTCCTTGGCCAGCCCCTGGGTCTGCCACCCTCACCAGGGTTCACCAACCCAGATCCGTTTTACTGGAATGAACCCTGCTTGTCTCCTAAATACTGAAGCCAATAATGTGTTTTTGTTTGTTTGTTTTTATCTTTCTAGACACTGTTGTTTGTGTTGTTTGTACCCTTGAGTCCTCACCATTCTCAAGTCCCTTCCTCCCAGCTCTTCTGGTATATCTGTCCACCTGCCCCTCCTCTTCTGTTCTTGGTGGGGGTGTGTGGCCCTTTTCACCCTTCTGCCCAATGAGGGTCACCAGTCCTCAGGGCTCTGCCCATGCTCTCTGCCTGTTTCTTTATATCCCATCCTTTTTCAAGTTAACCCATTCTCCTTGTCATGGTATCGATGTCAAAGCAGACTGGGAATGGGGTGCCCAGCAGGACCCTCAAACCATTATTTTCGGTATAAATATCTGAGCCATCTTATCTGAAGTCATTGCCTTCAGACTTTATCAGTTTCTCTGGCTTGCCCTTGCCCTTATCATTGCTCTTGTAAGACAACTCTTTTCCTGGCTTCTTTTCTTTCTGGCTCTTCACCCCTACTAACAGCCCCTGGATCCCCATACCCCCAGAGTGCCCTTGCCCTGCTGAAGGAGCCCAAGATGCTTCCACGTTCTCCCCACTCAGACTTGCCATGCTGAAAGTGCTCAGACGCTCTGCCTCTGCTCTGTGGCAGCAAAATAGGAAACTTGTATGCAAGGGTCTGGGCTGGAGTTTGGGCCCGGTGTCCCTCCTCACTCACATGTTTTAAAGCCTGGTGTCCTTCTGGTCTCTACAGATGCTGAAAGTCTGAGCAAGGGCCCTGCTGACTGTGGGGAAAAGGCCTAATCCTATCTCACCTCCATTCCAGCTCTCCTGTCTTTTCCTCTGCCAGGAATATTCTTGCTTTTGCTTCTCCTCCATCTACTGAGCCTTGACCCTTCTTTCAGGCACAGGTGGTAGACTGCACTACTAGAAAGGGTGTCTCAGGAACCATACCAGAACTCATTTCTCGGTGAAGTCCATAGGACTTTCTATCAGCACTTTAGCACTTACCACACTTTCTCTGCTTTATGTCTTCACATACTTATGCTCTTTAATAGACTTTCAATCTAATTTTTCTTGGGATGGAGCATTGTTCTTATATATCTTTGTATTCCCACACAAGTTGAGGGCATAGATGGTGCTCAGGAGTTACCTTAGCCCCTGTTGTATATGATGCTTTGTGCCCCCCCCACTCCACCCCCCGCTTCAGTCTGAGGTGTTCAGGTTATCCTACATACACAGGATGGGGGACCTCAGTGCCTCTGAGATAAGAGTGTGGGCTTTGGAGCCAACTTGGCTGGATTTGAGTACCAGCTCTATCATTTATAAGTTGTGTCATATTTGGCAAGTAATCCAGCCTTCTCTGTGCCTCAGTTTCCTCTGCTGTGAGATGGGAATTATAACAGTCACTCCTTCAACATGTTATTAGGAGGATTTGATGAGTTACACATGTAAAGCATTTAGAATGGTTGAGCCATAGTAAATGCCCAGAAAATTTTATCTAAAAAAGGATACAGTTGGATCCATAGGAATTGAAATAAGCTACTGATTATGTTCAATACCCAGCACAGTTCCTGTCCCTAGGAGACTCAGTAAATGTCTGTGGGTAAAATTTAGGTGAGCTGAGCATTTTTACCAATAATAAAATAAGGAACGGGGGGGAGGGGGGAAGAGGGGAGGATTCAAAGAGAAGAAGCTGAAGGACCAAGAAGGAACAGAAAAGGAATGAGGCTGAAACCAGTTTGGCTCAGTGGATAGAGCGTCGGCCTGCCAACTGAAAGGTCCCAGGTTTGATTCTGTCAAGAGCTGGTACCTTGGTTGCGGACACATCCCCAGTAGGAGGTGTGCAAGAGGCAGCTGATCGATGATTCTCTCTCATCGATGTTCCTAACTCTCTATTCCTCTCTCTTCCTCTCTGTAAAAAATCAATAAAATATATTTTGAAAAAGAAAAAGAAAAGGAATGAAGACAGCCAGGGAAGCAGCCCTGGGCTCTGGGCCCAAGGAGTCCCCCTTTCCATTTGCCCTAATGGCATCCATCGTCAATTCCTCACTTTTCAGATGTGGAAACTGAAAGTCAGAGAGAATAAATGATTTCCCAAGGCCACACAGCTAGTAAATCGTGAAACAGAGATTCTTCAACTCACATTAGGATGAAAAAACTGCTACCGGTATATAAAATATGAGTGAGCCCTCCTGATTTTACCTGTTGCTAGAACTTTGTTAAGCAACTCTGGTTTTCTCCCCCCAAAACAGGAGATATAGTAACTAATTTACAGAATTCTCGTGGAAATTAGAAAACATACACACAGTGATTATTACCTTTCTTGGAACACAGCAGCTATTCAACAAACAGTTGTTAGTGCTGGTGAAAAGCTTTGTGCAGAGCTCCTCGGTCTGGCAGGGAGGTCTGCTTTTAGGTGGGAGTTTCTGTTTGATGTCTGTGACAGAGGCCAGCCCAGCTACCTGGCCGTTTGTACTGAGGGCAAACATGTGTGAATGTTGTTAAAAGAGATGAAGAGGAGTCCAGATGC